ACTTTCTGAGAACCAAAAAACAACGTTCTGAGAACGTTCTGGGAACCAAAATCTAACGTTCTGGGAACGTTAAGAAAACTTTCCCAGCTAACCAAAAACAAACCACAAAAAGTAACGTTCTGAGAACCAAAAACTAACGTTCTGAGAACGTTCTGGGAACCAAAATCTAACGTTCTGAGAACGTTCTGGGAACCAAAAATTGTTAGCTGGGTAGCTCGGTAAGGGTAATTATTTGTTTCTTATATGGCTTGGTTGAATTCTAATGTAGAATGCGGACTGTTATTATAACAGGCCGCTGCTTATAAGTATAACACACCGTTGCCATGAAAAACAGAGCGTTGCCATGGATTCTAAATGTAGAGACAGAACGGACTATTTTTCTTTTTTTAGCGGGAGCGATACAATCGTTTTTTAAATCAATAAACTCCTTTTTATATCCATATTTTGAGTCAAATTATTGATTTATTTGGGCTTCGCGTCGGGCTCATCAACCTCCTCGCTATACATTATCCCTAACTTATTCTGTCTGTTCAGCGTCCTCCACCGTGGTGTTGGGGTTCATAATGTTCACAATTTTATTTCATTAGTTGTTGGTTTAACCATGGTTCATGAGGTAATGGCTGACTATTTTCTTTTCAATTACTTTTCTTGTTACATGTTCATTGCTGGATTTATAGAAAAACATCAACCAATATTGCATATCCATAATTATTATAATGGATATAATTAAAGAATCCATACACTATAAAGTAAATTAAAGATTTTATGCCTATTTTGAATTTTACTCGAATAAAAATACAAATTGAAATACTTTTCCCCCCTGAACAAATACAAATACAGATACAAATACCGGCTGCTTTGCACACCCCTATTATACGGCATTCCTGGTAAATTAGTCTGATTCACTAAAGTGCCGGCTGCAAACAAACGTGCCACCTTGTTTTATTTTAAAGTTTTAATCCACTTCTTCCTTATACTCAATTCAGTCGTGAATCCATGAAAACTTACGTAGGGTTGGCGTTGTTGGTTAGATTTACAAAGTGGAACAGAGTAGTGACATAAATAGCATTCGTCTCAGCACTTGTTGAACTCATACGGAAGTGCACATGCACAAAGTTGACAAATCCCGCCCATGAAACCCGGAAGCGTGATAATCCCCCATAGAGCTGGTAAGCCCCGCCCCTTCAGCTAGCCCCGCTGGACCTCTAGGTTGAAAAATCGTCAATGCAGGTGAATGAGAGAAAATAATTATTTTCTAATCCCGTTTGAATTGTGCCATGAATGTAACATATGTTGTCTGTGAATTTTTTTATATAATGTTTCGTGTAAAGCGGGTAGAATTTTCATACGGTTAGACTTTGTGGACTACAACTCTTCCGACGTGTTTGATATACGTCACCCCCACTAGCACACGGATCCCGCTAAACATGCCCGTGTCTTTGGTGCACTTCACCGCCTTCTTTCAGGGAGAGGACGAACTAGTTGAGGTGGTGAAAACCGGTATTTGTGGAGGGAAAATGTGTTACACGGCGACGTCACATATGCGACGTGTAGTCTTTCTCATTATGTCTATTCCACAACTGCTAGCCAAAGAATCATACAATATACTGTCAAACTCGTCACATGAGAAATTATATAAAAAATTCACAGACAACATACGTCACATTCATGGCACAATTCAAACGGGATCATAAACTAATTATTTTCTCTCATTCACTTGCATTGACGCTTTTTCAACCTAGAGGTCCACTTGTAGTTTTACGGGTGGGCGGGGCTTACCAGCTCTATAGCAACCCACTGAACGAATACTGGAATATTCTGGTCCAGCCCTATTATATGTTTAAAAAGTTTATAAGTTATAAGTTTATAAGAATTATAAGCAAATAAGATCACTGGACAGTGGACACAAACACCCACTTCATGACTTGTTTGATTGTTTTATGGGTGAAAAAACAGAATTTGTGAATTTCAAACGTCATACTCTTCATTCTACTTTAGAAATGCTCCCGTCTGGGCGTAGACTCAAAACTCATTTAGCCAGAAGAAACATATTAAAAAATTTGGAATGATAATTTTATATAATTAATTTGTTTCCTTCTGTGTTTGTGTGCGTTTTTAAGCCTTCATGTGGATGTATCTCTGTATCTCCATTGTCAAATTTACGCTCTCTCTCAAACAGAATGGACAATAAAGTTAAACTTGAACTCATAAACAATAAATCACAGCTCTGTTGTCACACAAGGTTGAATGAAGAACAAGATGATAGAGTTTAAAAGTTAATAATCCACTCTAAAGACAGCTAATAAAACAACTTCTAACATAGACGGAGACCAGACAAAGAGTGACTGAGGCACAACTTATCAAAGCAAACCCAAACGAGATGATATAATCAAACACAGAACTCATAATGAACATCACCCTCAGCCGTCTCTATCAGACTTTGCATTTCAGATCATTGTTTTTTTTTATTAAAAACATCAATCAATGTGCATTTCAACATTAGTTACAGTGTTTTATAAAAGTAAAGTGAGAGCCCAAAGTACAACAATCATCTGTTGAATATCATAAGGCCCCTTTAGAATTTTTATCAAACATTTTAGACATCATGTTTCTCCATCAAAATACAGTAAAAAGTAAATCATATTTTTGAGCATTTTTAGACCCTTTAAGTCTTGTTCCTCCTGTAAGGCTGAAGATTTGGATTAACATTCATAATCAGAGGCTTTTATCAGTGACTTATGTAACCCCTCCACCCGGGTCCCACTCGACCCGCTCTGAGCGGGCCTCGAACCCGGGTCTCCGGCATGAGAGTCGGGCGCTCTAGCAAGGAGGCTAAAGACTGCAGTCTGTCGCTAGATTATCTATTGAGATCAGGGGAGTGAGGTTTACTCGCACAGCAACTACTAGCTGGCCTCCGTTACACTCACCCCCCTAAACCTCACTCTCATCCGGGTCACGGCACCAATGTGTAACTGGTCTCTTTTCTGCGTTGTGTTTTTCATTCACGTGAGAAGAACAGGACAGGTCTCAGCAGTTTCAGCGATCGTTTATTCTGATGCACAAACAAAATGTAATCAGCCTCTTAGTGAGAATCGCCCTCTCTAGCTCTATAAAACAAATGTGATGTACATATGTCACACGTGCTCTCATTTCACATTTAGGCCCAGATGTTAAAACATCACTTAATCGGGACAAAATTACGAAAATAGCCACACAGATAAGTAAAATAACATTATACACAGGAATTAGATTGAAAATTAATTAAGATTATGATTAAAGATGATTATCAGGAGCCCAAAATAACCTCACCTCTCACTGCATCACCAGTGCAAAGAGGAAGAGGAGGAGACAGAACAGGAAATTATATTGACTCATGACATCATTTAAAGGGAAAGACACTCAACTTCACTTAGGCAGTAATATCAGGTATATGTCAAAAAACAATTTTGTGGGAATTCTAATAAACTATAAATACATTTAACAGTACACTTTATGTACCTGTTACACTTACAAATGAAGAACGAGTTTATCGTAAGGGCCAATATTCATAATATACAAGTTTAGACTTCAGTCGAGATGCTGCTGAGAACCGACACTTTCCTCATCCATATTTCCACCCATTTGGGTTTTATAGCATTTTCCTTCAGTCGTCTCATGTTCGTCCTCTGATCGACTCTGATGTGGAACGATGGGAAAGAGGGAGAAGCATCTGTGTATGAGGGCCGTTACATCAACGCATCGGTACGCATACGCGTCCACATGGCTATGCATCGCTACGCTTTGGCCGCCATTATGCGTCGATGCGTAGCCAAATGTGTCGTCCTAGTTTTTGTTACGCGACGCACTGATGCACGCAATACTATGCGTTATCGGTGGGGGCGACATTGCAAGAATTGTACATTAATTCAAATATATTATGTTAACAGAAGAAGAAGGTTTGAATTACAATGGCGGGCGAGGAGGAAAAATTATACGAACTTATACGCGTTCATCCGCATTTATACGACAGTTCATCACAATTAGTACACTCAAATAAAATTGCGTTGGAAAATGCCTGGAGAGAGGTTGCAATCGCGATGGGAAAGAGAAAGACAGTAAATCAGGTGAAAACCCAGATAGCAAACTGACATTGAATCAACGTGGAAACAACGTCTCATGACATCGAAACAACGTTGATCTGACATTGTTTTGCTCATCGAATTAACGTTGAACCAACGTCAGACGCGTCATTCTTTCAAAACTAACGGAAAATCAACTTGAAATCAACGTTGTTTCAACGTTATGAAAGCAAACCAATTTTCGATTTTCATTTAGCTTTGAAGAATGCCGCGTCTGACGTTGGTTCAACGTTAATTCGATGAGCAAAATCAACGTTGTTTCGATGTCATGAGAGACGTCGTTTCCACGTTGATTCAATGTCAGTTTGCTGTCTGGGAACGGACTGGAAAAGTGCCCGTGACAAATTTACCAGCCTGGTTATATGAATTAATGGTTTATGGATATGAATTAATGAATTAAAATACCAAATTAGTTAAAATGTGTAATGGTTTTTACATAATTTAAATAATACCAAATTATAAAAAATGTGTAATGGTTTTCACATAATACCAAATAAAATGTGTAAAGTGTTGAATAATATTAAAAAAGTTATTTGTCAGTGCTACCCAATCGTAGCACACTGTACTGGTGGGGAAACACGCCAGCATCTGATGACCTCTCTCCGGGAGGGTCTGCTGCTGCCGACCGAAAACCGTGGTCCGTCGACCATGTTCTGGTCCCCAACAACGTGCTGCCTCCACTCCACTCTCCAGGCTGGACCTCTCCGGTGTCAGATGTCGCATCCACAAAGGTGGCGGGCATGTATCTGGCACGGTCAGTGGATGCCAGAAAGTTGTGGAGAGCCACGCACGCCTTCACGAGCTTCACCGCTTTTTCAGGTTTGCAGTTAAAATATCTACTACCCCCTGTTGCGTGACCGGTGTATTGCATTTTAAGCTCGCGTCACTCGCGTTCGCGTTGCTTGCTCGCGTAGCTCGCGTTGACTATGTAACGGCCCTGAATCTGCACAAGCTTCATTCGGCCTGAACACACAGGATTGGTCAGTCAGGCGTCTGAGCTGTTCCCCAGTAAAGGTTCACTGGACTCTACAGGTGTTTCTACTGGTTCTGGACAATCCAGAATCATAAGTGAACTCTGATCTCCGACCCCTGGATTAAACAGCGGACTGACTGATTCAGGGAATCTGATCTTCATGGTCAGCACATGTTTCCTCTCTTTGACATTGTAAAATGACAGCTGACCTTCACCATAATCTAACAGAACTCCCAGTCGTTCGGGTCTCGGCGTCAGTGAGAGAGAAACTGGTGGATCAGAGCTGGTGTAAAAGCCATTAGGACCGTCTGAACACAAGAACCAGCAACGGTTTGACGGAGTTACAGCAGATCTGTCTTTTACACGAAAGTTTCCATGTTTCGTCACACCAATTAACCAGTAGTTTTTAGGAGGTTTATCTTCTAATGCCAACTCTACTTCCCAATAGCGACGGCCAGATTTATATCTTTGAGCTCCGACTGCACATAATTCATATGGAAATCCCTCTCCAGTGTGTTTATAATCTGGAGCGTCTCTCACTGTTTTACCGTCTGGAGAAACGGTCAGACCTGGATGTGAACACTCACGGTCAATAGTGGTCTTAACTGTGAAGAAAATAATGCAACAATTAATACACTTCAACGTGTGTGAGATCATATTTACAAATATGTGTATATATGACTAAAGTTGATGAAATGCATATGTATAACTGAGATGATGTCATCATACCTGCATGTTTCCTCAGTTCTGCTATATTTGTGTCTCCCACACCTAAAGTGAAAAATTATATGAGACTTTAGAGAAAAATTCTGGCTTATTTTTAGTGTGTCTTAGTGTGAGTTTGAGTGTGTGTGTGTGTCACAAACTGCTCTGAGACATTAAAATGTTGAGGATCCAAATGCAGTATTTTTTAAAGGGTTATTATGGGCTGAAATATGTGACACCAGAAACTGAATTTCAATCATTTATATTTGAATTTGAATTGCTAAACTTGAATAATTGCACTGAAAAACTGAATTTGAATAACATAATTTGAAATTGTATCGTTTAATTTGAATCTTTGGATTGAAAAACTGAATCTGAATTGTATCATTTGAAATTGAATTGGATCCTCACTGAAAAGTAAACTCTCTATACATCTCCACATTCACTTCTCACAATTCAGACTCAGTTTACTGAATTGTTTAAGTTTCTGAGACAGACATCCGGGTAGTTGGAGGATGAAGGAAGAGCAATCGAGTGCAGATCTATAGATAGCGTTCATTGGCGCACAGGACTCCTCTTGGGCCAATCAGCAGCCAGAGACCAATCCAGGAAACAACCCAACCGTCTCCATTGACTTTGCATTGCGAGAGGCTGCCTCCTTGTCATTTGACAAAACAAACGACCGAAAATACCTAAAAACTGCTGTGTAACAAGGTGGACAGCAAACAAGATAAAAAACCAGAAATACAGTTTTATAAGCTGTCGACCCCAAACGTCGTTTGTTTTAGGACATAAAAGTGGATCAATTGAGACCGAGCGCAACTAGTTCTCGAACTCCTCTGAGAACTACGCCCACTGGAACACGATATGATATTGAAAAAATACATAAAAACATTCATAATTTTAACCATTCACCACCCTATGTGAACCTGAGAGGAGGAGATACATTGACAAGTTAAATTTGGGTTAAATAAATTAAATAAGGCTGGCTTTTATGGTTCGGAAGCTTATAAAAATGTATTTCTGTGTTTTTTAGCTTGTTTGCTGTACACCTTGTGCACACCTTCGTCTATTTACAAGCGGAAAAACATTTTCTAGCGAGGAAACGGATCTGATTGAAACACACAAGTAGACCATCTACTACAGCACAAAGTGTACGAGCGTTGTGGACCCGGCTATTACTAACACGCTCTATAAATAACAAAACTAAATACTGTGCCATTGACTTTGATCAGGTTTCAGTTGGTCAGTGCCGCAGTCTATTCAAGTTGTCTCGGAGGACGTGTACTCACTCTCTGATGGCTGTGAATGGACATGTGGAGCAGCAGCCCCAGCACACCATGAAGAACTGCCCGCATCTGGAAACAACACCAGTCATACTTTCATGTGAGTGATTTCTACTAGGTCTCAGTGTCTTATGTTTACAAAAATAATTATGATATAAGCATGCATGAAAAAAAAAACCCTAAGATGAATCATATATTTCATATATTTCAGAGCAAAATGAAGGTTCTACTTAATATTCTAGTTAAAATGTATAAATAAATGTTAGTTGTGGGATAAAAAAATTAATCCAGAATAAACTGGTTTACTCTCTAAATGCAATCTAATGTATATGATATATAAGTGTTAATGTACAGAAATAAATGTTTTTTCTCCAAGGTTAAAAAAAAGTTTAATAGAAATACCACCCATTTGTTTATAGTTTCAGATATTATTGCTGATATTGCAGTGATTACGCCTCTTCAGATACCTTCTTTTGTCTCTCTCTCCATAGATTCATCATCACGAACTAAAATGAGAGAACATTTCTTCAGTATTAGTGTTTGCTGGAAATGTGTTGTGGTACAAGATAAACTGCACATGAGCATTTATTTGCAGTTTAGTGAATAGCTTCAGATATTATTGCTGATATTGAAATAAATACTCTTCTTCAGATACCTTTTGTCAGACTCTCCATAGTTTCATCGTCACAAACTAATAATGAGAGAAATATTCATTTGGAAGATTTATTTATTAATTGTTTCCACAAATACTCTAGAAATAAACCACAATAAATGTAACTGTTTAGCTGATTCATATGTGTTTTTAATCATAAAAATGACATATATTTAGTTTAATTACCTTTTTTAACGGTTTTCTTCCCTGAAATAAAAACATTAAATAAGGATAAAATACCTGCATCAAAAAAATATTAATTAATATAATTATTTTAACCAGATTGTACCTGTTAGTTTAAGTCTGTATTTGTACAGGATAAACCCAATCAAGCCCAGAACACAGATGAAGGCGATGATGAAAAGAGCCATCCATGGATCTGATGAATCTGGTGGATCTGAGGAAGACAATCCAGATCAATATAAACACCTTCAAAATCAACTTTGTCAACTTTTTAAACCACTTCATTCATAATCCATTTTTCTTGTGAAATTTGATTTTTGATCGGACGGTTGAATAATTTGAAAGATTGACTATCAAAGAAAGACGAGCAGTGGCCAGTTGCATTAACCGCTAAAACACAACAAGTTAAGCTAACTCTCTTCATTTGAGGAAACTGGTTGCCTCAATTCAATTAAGTTTATCAAAAACAATAGCTATGAGTACTCTGAACTTATTTCAGTTGAGTTCACTAAAACAATAATATTTCTTAATACACAATTAAACTGTACACTAAATTTAAATATTTTATATAGCTGAAACGTCACTTTCTTGCGCGAGAACTGAGCTGACGACGTTCTTCTTCGTCTACTTCTTGTTACCGGCTGCTCACCGCTTAGGAGTATTACCGCCCCCTACCGTATAAGATGATGATCCATATATAAGGCGCTCCGGATTGTAAGGCGCACAGCACTGTCGTATTTGAGAAGATTAAAGGCTTTTAAGTGCACCTTATAGTGCGGATACTACGGTAATTGAAAAGCGTATGTACAGCGCACGTCTTCCTCTGCTTGTAAACAGAAAGTTTTACGCTTCCAGCGATATCAGCACGTCATCTTATACGGTAGGGGGCGGTAATACTAGCGGTGAGCAGCCGGTAACAAGAGGCAGTCGAAGAAGAACGTCCTCGTCTCAGTTCTCGCGCATGCGTTCTGGAAATCTCTTCAATTCTCGTCTCAAGGCCCATAAGGAAGTAATAGAATAGTCGAATTAAGTCGTTATTTATGTTTTTTTTCGCACGTCGCTTGATAAACTTATAATTGAGCCGCTGTAGGCACATGGAATATTTAAACCTTTTCTTTAATGACTTTATGGGCCGTCAAGAGCCAGTCCCTTAGGCAGTCTATGTAGGACTGATCCAGCTCTCACATTTAATCAAAAATATCTTCATTTGTGCTCCGAAGATAAACGAAGGTCTTACGGGGTTGGTACAGCATGGGGGTGAGTAATTAATTACTTAATTTTCATTTTTGGGTGAACTAACCCTTTAAAAGCCGATATTGCGGTATCGATATTGCGGATATTACGGTATTGATATTGCGGTATTGATAGGTGTTCGACTCCTATCCCACTCAATGAAGATTTTTGAACGAATCCCGGAGAGCTGCCTTCGAACCATTATTAAAATCAGTCCAAATCAATGCGGCTTCGTCAAAGGACGTGGGACCACAGACGCCATCCATGCTGCCCGCCTCCTGATGGAGAAACACTGGGAAAAGAACAAGCTAGTCCACATGGTCTTCCTGGATCTGGAGAAGGCTTTTGACCTCATTCCCCATGATCTCATCTGGGCCTCTCTCCAACGTCACCATGCACCCGAAACCTACATCAGCTGGGTGCAACTTTTATACCAAGACGTCAGGAGCTCGGTTCGATCCACAGCTGGGATATCATCCCCTTTCAACGTCAACGTAAGAGTCCACCAAGGATCAGCCCTTTCGCCCTTGCTTTTCACCACATTCATGGACACAGTGACACAGGACGTCCAGACGCCCCACCCATGGTCCTTACTCTATGCTGATGATATGTTCCTCGCCGACAGGGAGCGGCAAGACCTTCAAGACCAAGGGCAGCAGTGGAAAGATTGCCTGGATGCAAATGGCTTGTGACTCAACCTCGCCAAGACGGAGTACCTGGAGTGTGACCCTCAGATTGATGGCACGATTGGCATCGACGGAACGGATCTAAAGAAAGTTCAACACTTCAAGTACCTCGGATCAATACTCTCATCGAACGCCTGATCAAAGTGGCACCAAGTCACGGGAGTGCTTACGGAGAAGATGCTTGAGGCCCGTCTCCGTTGGTATGGCCACGTAACACGCAGCCATGAGAACTCAGTGGCGAAGACAGCTATGCACCTTGACCCACCCGGTAACTGGCCACGTGTCCAACCAAAGATGAGATGGATGGACCGGATCAAGCAAGATATGAAGGACGTGCAAGTCGCCCCGGAGGACACTACGGACCGGAATAAATGGAGAGCAGCCTGCCAAAATGTGGACCCTGCACCTGCGCGGGACAAACGCTAGGACGAAGATGATTACGGTATTGATACGATATTAATTTTACGGTCACAGTCGCTGTGGTTACTGATAAGAGAATACGGGCGTGACTTTCTTTGCACGTTTATACAGAAATTGTTTGAGACGCTAAGGTAAGTCGCTGTTTGAATGGGACATTTTAAGACTCACACCTGTATATCAATGCGGTTGTCAATCCCGAAAACCAAAAGAGTGAAAACAGCCCTTGTTCGGATAGCTACAAATATGTTTGTTCTAAGATTTTCCCTGACCTGAACAGATGATGGCTTTTATGCTCAATCTTCCTTTTCTGAGCTCTCCAGTGTTGAGAGACATTGAGCATGAGACCAGTTGAGCGTCCGAGTGAGAGATTAATGGAGGCTGCTTCACAGCTAACAACGACAACGACTTCAACAACGAAAGCACCTGAAGATCTCCTACTCTCTTTAGTGAAGGAACTCTCTTTTGTTGCACGACTACTCATGCAACAAACGGTAGGTGATACTATTCCTTTAATGAGCTGTAGATACATAAAAACATAACATATTGTATATTGTAATTTTTAACTCACCAGTGACTTTGAGAACCACCTCTCCACTGTCAAACGCACTTTCTCCACTGACATAACAGTGAAATGAACCTTCATCCTGAATCCTGAGTTTCTCCAGCCGCAGAGAGACGTCTCCATTCTTCAGTCCACCAGACTGATCCGACCACAGAGTCAGTGAGCTTCGGTTCCTGAACGATTCCTCCTGGATGATCTTCCCATTCTGATAGACGAGAACAGGGTTGCTGAACTGGTCCTGACGGTACCAGCGGATCTCCAGAACTTCAGCGTTCTCAGGAGGAGAGATCCAGCAGGGCAGAGTGACTGTGGACCCGACACGAGCCACTGTCTGATCACGAGGAACCACAACAGTGAACGACTCTGAGAGACACACACAGACACATCTGATGAAACACATGTATAGGTGTAACGGAGGCCAGCTAGTAGTTGCTGTGCGAGTAAACCTCACTCCCCTGATCTCAATAGGCGCTCTAGCGACAGAGACTGCAGTCTTTAGCCTCCTTGTGAGAGCGCCCGACTCTCATGCCGGAGACCCGGGTTCGAGGTGGGACCCGGGTGGAGGGGTTACATATTCACACCGGAGGAACTTTTGCAAGTTCTGGGATTTTGTCGGGTTTGCACCACAGGAACTAGGAACGAAATAAAGTTATTAGCGTGTGCTGTGTGGTTGATGTCCAGTGTTACTGAGTAGAAATAGATAATCATGTTTTTTCCCTTCATCCATCTCTGTTCCCCATGTTAGTAGAGTTAGTTTCTGGAGTAAATATATAGGCTATAATATGTGGCTGGTGCTGGTGTCTCGCGTGCGTTTCGGCCAATCAGCGAACAGTACCGTCACTGTAGTTCCTATAGCGCTGGTTTAGACCGACTCTAAAGGACGAGTCAAGTAGATCCTCAAAAGGAGTTACTATATATACTAGTCACAGTCATTCTAAATCTGGAGCCTATGTCTTTTGTCAAAAAATAAAATGAAATAAGTAAGACTTACATTAGCGAATTAATGTTTCAGGGAAATTTCACCACGATGTATAAAACACATCTCGAACAGAAGTCACTTTAAAATTAAGCAGCTCTCAGTATGTCATCGCAGAGAATTTAACGAAATACTTGAATATGATTGAACGTGACCATTAGAGATGCCACCAGATGTTAATGAGTGAAATCACTGAAGGAAAGAGGAACAAACATCTGAAGTCACCATTGTAGTGATCAGTGTTTCGTGTAGCTGCCATATTAGTGTGTTTAGAAAACACATTTATTGTGTCAGAAGAGTACAAGACTAACCATGTGATGTTATTGTGAAAATCAGATTTTCAAGTTGTTGATAAGAAGTATTTATTCTTAATCTTACTCAACCATCTTGAGACTGTCTTTGGTGTTTCTGAGACCTGGTTTATATCTCATCTCTGACCGCTGCAGTGTGTGTTTATGAGTGGTTCCAGGTCTGAGATTGACTGGCGTCCCTCAGGGTTCGGTTTTAAGCCCCTTCATTTTTTAGCATTTATATATTTCCTCTTGGATTGCTCTTAAGATCACTTGGGCTTAATTATCATTTCAGTGCAGATGAAACTCAAATTCATATTCACTCTAAGCCTGGGCAAAATGTGGACGTTTCTTTTGTCTCACATTGCATTTCTGAGATAATAACATGGATAACCCTAAACTTTATGTGTCTTAATAGTGATAAAACATCTTTGTAAAGCCGGTTCACTGATGTTAAATGCAGATTAATCTGTTTTGGAGTTCCAAACTAAATATAGTTTTATTTGATTTGATTTTCTCTTTTGACAAATTTACTGTTAATCATTATTTTTTTCATTTCAGAAATATTGCTAGACTTTGCCCAATTTTTCTTCAGTGACTGAACGGCTTATCAATACTTTTGTTTTTTTTAACCCATTGACTATTATAACACTCTTCTTGCTGTGGTTCCTGAAACCGCACTCAGTGTGTGCAAAATTATGTATTTTCTATTGTGTATTTTATATTTCTATTGTATTTACCTTGAGAAGCTGCTTAAAGGAGTTACATGAAATACAGTTTATTTTAAACAAGTTCTTACCAGAAGTCTCTATGAAGAGATTCACCAGTAAAGCCACAATAATAGTCAACATTCCTGCGAAAATACAGACACTCAAATAAAATACTACGGGATTTTTTACAGAAACACACGAATCATGTGAGAGATAATAAATCAGACTGTCGTGTTCAATGAGGAACAGAAACTCACCGGAGAAAAAGACTCGTCTGTTAAATCACAGTAATCTGAAGATGAGCCGTAGACGCGTTCAACACAAGAATAGAGTCAAAATAAACGAAAAAATAGACGAAAATCAGAATCTATCGAATGTGCACCTGATTTTACTCCTGTATCTCCTGCTTAAAACTTTCCCTTCTAAACATAACGTGATTCCTCAATAAAAACAGACGTCATCGTCATATGACTAAAACCGCTATACGCACAGTAGGTCTCATAAATGTGGTTTAGAGTCCGTTTTCTGTTTTTACGAGGTGGTTACATATCTAATGGACAATCCACACAGATCTCAATGAATTTTTCCTCATGGGCCGACTGTAGAAAAATATAGAAAAATATGATTAAGACTTATCTGTGTGTGTATGACCCTTTATACGTGACCTGACAAAAAGAAATATGTAAGACTGAGACATGGCCTTTACTCAAGGGTATTGGAGGAGATGTGCTGTTCATGATAACTTGAGGAACAACTAGAGACCGGAGGGTGTGTGTTAGTAATGGGACATGTCTCTTCGCTTAGAGACTATAAAGAGTAAAGGATGCCCTCCCTTCCCTGTCTCACTCTGATGACTTGAAAATAAATAGGCCTAACCTTTAAAGACAATTGTACAGGTTTGTCTCTTATTCAGTAAAAGGGAATTGTTTGCCACCACTGTTATATCTGCATCAATATGTTATAATAATATATGCTATTCTGTTGTGTTTCAGAATGTACCCGAGTGAAACAGAGACATCTGCACTGTTTATGGACTTGTTTAATCGGCACGCTGCAACATCCACAGCCCTCGACACATGGAGCGCCCTCTGCTGGCCATCCGGGATTGGAACATCAACTCAAATACATTACAATTGCAAAACTAATCATCAAGTAATTTCTTTAGTTTTCAGGCTTTTCAAACAGGGGTCCATGAAGATCTCCAAATCTAGACAATTACTATTATCTTTGAATGATTCTAACCTTCAGTTGATTTAGTTGAGTAAAGCTAGCCTAGAAATCTAGACGCGCCCTAGCGGCAGTAAACAACTCTCCATAGACGTTTTAGATGGAAAACCCCAACTCTGGCCGGGCCAATCACATCGTGTATAGAGTCGGCGGGCGGGCTTAACATAATGATGACAGAGTTGAGACGGTCAGAGCAAGCTCGGACATATTCGGTTTTAAGTTTTAATGGCCGGCGCCGCGCGCGCTGTTACAAAAAAAACTGTGGCGAAACGATCAACTTGTCATTTTTGCCGCGCTCGTGCTGTCGCGTTTTGGGGATGGATTCCGGGAAATCTCCCTCATTTTCAATGTTCAATGTTGACAGCTGGACTGGATACGGTAAAAGTTTAATATATCAACTTGCTCCGCTGAGTACGTCACCTTCTTCGTTGCTCTGATTGGCTGTAGCGCTATCCAATTGCGTGCAGAGAGAACTTGAAAGACAACCGTTTATCCCGCCCCTCGGATTGAGCCCTGTCAATGAAGAGTTTCCAGACCAGATCTTGATGCCAGGCTTGAGTAAAGCTTCATTATCAAATATAATGATCTTTCCCTAGAGTGATTTGAGGAACCCAGGTATGTAAAGGTTCAAGGGGGAATTGGATCAGAAGTGTAGCATAATTTTTTGCTTATTAATGCTTGTTAATAAAAGTTAGTGAAGCTACTATGTAACTAAGATGATCTGGCAACAAATATATAAAATCACAATATCTGTGACATCTCTCTTGATCACAGTATCTCTCTTTTTTTGTGTCATTCCATCAGAAAAGCTCAGGTTGAGTCTGTAATGAGAAGGTTGTGTCTCTGTTGGCCACGCCCACATGTCTCTGTTGGCCACGCCCACATGTCTCTGTTGGCCACGCCCACATGGTTCCTGTTGGCCATGCCCACATGGTTCCTGTTGGCCACGCCCACATGTGTCTCTGTCGGTCACGCCCACATGTGTCTCTGTCGGTCACGCCCACATGTGTCTCTGTTGGCCACGCCCACATGTTTCCTGGTTTAATCTGTGCTGTTCAGCCACTTAATCTCCTGAGTGGAGAGAGAGAGAGAGATAGAGAGAGAGAGAGAGAGAGAGTGACAGGTTCATCTCTGCTGGAGGAGCTCATGAGGAACGGTAAGAAAACAGCTTTGTGTGTGTGTGTGTGTGTGTTTACCTGCTAACTTCAACTCTCGTCATGAGCTCGTAGACATGAAGATCTTCAGAATATACGTGTGTGAATGCTTTAAAGTGCACATTTAAGGCTGGTTTATTATAAGAGATTATTGCAGAAGCATCTTAAAAAAATGAAATTGTACAGAGTTATAGAAGTTTACATGTATAGTAAGCAGTGTTGTGCAAGTTACCAAACTGTAATACATTAGGTATTACTTGTTACTGTTATTTAAAAGTAATTCATTACCTTACAATATTACTGTCTCAGAATTGTAATGCGTTACATTACTCATGTATTACTTTTGAGTTTCACCAAAATAACTAAGTAGAACAACGTTTGGGCTGTAACGATATGCAACCGAAATCGCCATTCGCCACATGATACACCTCTTCCAACTCCAGCGTTATTCTCCTTACCGTCCAGATCCAATGCTGCCTTATCTCAAAATTAGGCTATTAGTATTATTTGAAGTTAACATTATAAAATACGTAGACCTACACCACAAAACTAGTTGAGGATAAATTATTTAAAATTGGAGAAGTCCAGCATTATGGACATGACATTTGCAGTCAAAACTTGAAATACAATTTTTTAGAAAATACATGTATTGAAACGTATATAGGCTACTTCCTTAAAGGACTCCAGACATTAGACAAATATCAGTCTATGTTTTATTTTTAATGTTAGGGGAAAGACACACATTCATGCGTGACAAAAAAATAGGAGGCGAAATATATTTTTTGTAATTCTGTTAATTACACTGCGCAAATCGGATGAGGAAGGGTTGGCTCTCCAGTCTCCATAAAACGTAAAATATTCATTTTATTTTAGTTTTCGTGTTCGCATTTATGAGGAAAAAACAATGTTACAGACGCGACCGCTCTGAACTGGCACTAAAAGACTGCTTTAAAACTTTCACATATCTGTTGCCTTTAAGAAGTAAAAGCAGACAATACACTGTAATACAACTGTAATACAAGCCTCACTGAACATGTAACGAGTAAAATATTACTGAAAATTGATTAGTAATGCCTTACACTACTGCGTTACAGCAAAAAGTAATATGTTACTGTAATGTATTACTTTTGTAATGCGTTACTCCCAACACTGATAGTAAGAGAGCAGGGCACAACATAACCTTTCTCAGTTTGTGTACATCCAGAATTTATTTTTTCCCATACATTACTTCCCAACACAAGTATGTGCTTTTGTTTCATTAATGCAGTGTTTTCCTTATTCTTGATTTACCCCGAAAGAATGGGAGTGAGCTGTGACAACATGCCCCATATAGGAACATTATAACATATGACCATGTGACAGATTAACACGTAATCTAATCTAATCAAACAATATACCAGAGAAACTAAAATATTTTGTCAATAAAATAAAATGATCAACTTTTTGTATAAAATAATGTAAACAAAATGTTTGAGTTTGACAACACACCTCATAACACTATAATTAATAGTGGGCTATATTGCGTGTGAGGATGTTGGAGGAGGAGATTTATAGTCTTTTGTCACTTCGTTCGGACTTCGGATCGGCTCCAGAAGAACCGAGTCCAGACTGAACCGGCCCGTGCGAACACAAGGATTATATCGGAACGGAGATTGCATGTAGTCACGCAGAACATTAATAACCTGAGAACAAAGTATAATCTGCACGGTTGTGCGTGATATCATAACTTAGATTAGATAGATTTAATTAGCGCAATTTACTGCAGTATCAGAACCAGAACAAAAGAGGATGTTACCAGTTCAGATTACATTTTTTCCCACTGAAAGTTCTTATGTCGGTCATACTTCCACAAAGAACAATCTGTGATTGTGAACGCCACACCGGCGGCGACTGACACACCAACCCTATCTCACGACCGATTCGTACGAGTGATTCAAAAGTGGCTAATTCATACGACCTCACTCGTACGAATTTGTACGATTTGTCTAAACCCACGTGACGGTTATGTTTAGGGGCGGGGTCAGGGGTAGGTCATTCGTACGAATTAATACGAATTGGCTAATTCGTAAAATATGTACGATTTAGCAAAATCGTACTAATTTGTACGAGTGAGGTCTACGAATTAGCCACCTCGTAAAATCCGTACGAATTCCCGTACGAACACACTCTCCTCAAACACTCCTCAATCCGCGCTGTGCCATGCCGGAGCACAACTCACGTAAAGCTGATCATTCCGCGGATGAATGACTGCAACTGCAGATTGAGACACAGATGGCGACGGAGAGGAAACACGGCGGACCGCAGCTTCAACACACTCTGGATTAAGACTGATGGAGTGTGTGTGTGAGTCCACATCGCTCTTATTACGGTCGGGGAGTCACGTTTGAGCGTGATGTGTTTCTGCGTGATGTTTTGATCCCGCTGGACTATTGTGTGATTATGTTCCAGGAACGTGACTGTGAGTGACCCGTCCGGTGTGTGTACCCGTGTGTGTGTGACTGACAGCGACAGCATGGCTCAGAGAGCGGAGAGAGCGCCATCTATAGACAGGTACGGGAACAGCTTCACTCATAATAGTGTTAAATATTAATAACATGCTTTTGGGAAACCCTCATTCTGAGGTTTGAGGTTGAAATCTAAAAAAGTAACAAATCCAGGAGACGTTTATGCCAGAAACGAGCGATGAAATGACTAATACCAGCTTTGGCACATTAATGTTTTTTTGTGTGTGTATTTGATTATTATTCATGTTTTTAGTCAGTGTTTCAAACTTCTGTTTCCCGTTTCTGAGTTTCTGACGTATTTGCATATTCTCCTTCTGACTCAATCCAGCCAATCAGCGGAAGGCTCCGCCCCCAAGCCGGCCCTGCGCAAGCCCTCGGTGACTGACGCCAGCAAGAAGAAGAAGAGCAAGAAGTCCAACGATGAAGTGATGAGCAAGGTGTACGGGAACCTGCTGAGCAGCGTCTTCGGGCAGGTACACACACACACACACACACACACACACTCAGAAGTCAAGCATCAGACGTCAGCTGGAAGAGATTGCTCTCGTTCTTGGCTGATCCTCATTAAGGCTCGTTAGAGTAAATGAAGAGTGACACTGTGTGCTATTATTACCAGTGGATTACACAGAGCTAACGTGTGTTTGAGAGACACACGACACACACATCCCGCTCTGACCCTGAACACACAGCACAAGTCAATCTGCTCACACTCACCAAATATGATTCGGCTAATTTCAAATATAAATGTGCAAACCCTACTCTGGTGTTGTTATTAATATGGAGATTTTTAAAATGAGATGAATTTTGTTTCTCTAGTTTTGATGTTTCGTTCATGTTTTTGGACAAACTGTTTTAAACCTCATATTAAAACTTAAAAAAAAATGTTTAATTCCCAGTTTGACCTCCATTAGCATTTACTGCAGTGCATCCCAAACCCGACACACACACACACACATGTTTAACACACTTCTGTGTCTCTTCTGGTATTTGCTGATTTTCATGTTTTACCTTTATATGGGCAAAGTTTTTAACCCTATTAAATGCATGTCATGTTTTTATCAAATTCTTAAGACCGGGTTCGAATCCACTGTGAGACGCCAATGTGTCCCTGAGCAAGACACTTAACCCCTAGTTCTCTGACATATATAGCAATTGGAAGTCGCTTTGGATAAAAGTGTCAGCTAATTGAATAAATGTAAATGTGAATGTTAATATTCCATTAATTTAATAATAAATAAAGAAATAAATTAAACTAAATCAATCATTTAAATCAAGTCAAGTCATTCCACATTCATTTATATAGCGCTTTTAAAATATGATAAATTAAATGAGTATCAACAAATGGACAATGAAAAGCTAAATAGGAAACTTTCTCCATAAGATTTAAAAAATGTATTTTTATAATTATTTATTTTAAATTAATTTTAAATGTTGAAAAATGTATGATTAATAATTTCCAAATTATAGTATGTGAAGAGTCAACTATGAAAAAAAGTAGTTTATTCAAATTGTTTTTAATTTACAATAACACACTCACCAGATTGTTTTAATAAATCAAAGGAGAGTGTGAATATGAAGCGAAGCGGTGACGCTGGCCTCGACTCCTGAGTGACCGCTCTTTGACCCAAAACATGCGATGGAAAGTTGGCCTGAGGAAGCGGCCGCTGTAATCCGCCGAGTGTTTGATCCTGACTGATCCTTTTCAGGGAAACCAGGAGTCTCTTCATCATCATCATCATCATCATCCGGCGGTCCAGGCTCTGCCATTATCAGATCAGAAACACAGTAAATCAGTGTAATATCACTCCAGTGTAAATCAGCGGTCCTCTGTGTGGATATACAGTAAAGTGTGATTTATTCCTGTGATCAAAGCTGAATCTCTCCATCATTACTCCAGTCTTCAGTGTAGAGCTGCTGGAACCAATTCCGAAATTCTAATATAATTCAAATATTGAAAAATCAATGCTATTCGAATATTGTTTTTTGTGTATATTTTTTTTTAAATATGCTTAATGACGTAAAAAAGCGTGTATAAAAGCGTGTGAGTATATGAGTGTGAGAGTATGTGAGTGATTCAAATATTATTCGAATATTAAATAAAAATAAGGAATGTAATTTTAATAGTATTATAGAGAAAGATTGACAGCCCCACTTCAGTGTCACATGATCCTTCAGAAATCGCTCTAATATGATGATTTGATGATCAAGAAACAAAAACGCAACCGTAAATGCAAGCTTTATGTTCGATGTATGAAGTGATGGAGATGAACTGACATGAATCTCTCTCTGTCTCTGTGTGTTTTCTGTCAGGAGAGAGAGTTATCTCAGCCGGAGCTCGATGGTGAGTATCAGAGCATCATATCTCAGGTTTGAACAGGTGTGTGTGTGTGTGACACGAGTTCTGGTTTTCCAGAGTTGTCCGAGGCCTTTAAGGAGTTCGACTACGATCAGGACGGATACCTGAACTATAAGGATCTGGCCGAGTGCATGAGGACGATGGGTTACATGCCGACAGAGATGGAGCTGCTGGAGATCATTCAACAGATCAAGATGAGGCGTGAGTGTGTGTGTGTGACTGTGAGTATGTGAGACTGTGAGTATGTGAGAGTGAGTATGTGAGAGTGTGAGTATGTGAGAGTGTGAGTATGTGAGAGTGTGAGTATGTGAGAGTGAGTATGTGAGAGTGTGAGTATGTGAGAGTGTGAGTATGTGAGAGTGAGTATGTGAGAGTGTGAGTATGTGAGAGTGTGAGTATGTGAGAGTGTGAGTATGTGAGAGTGTGAGAGTGTGAGTATGTGAGAGTGAGTATGTGAGTATGTGAGAGTGTGAGTATGTGAGTATGTGAGAGTGTGAGTATGTGAGAGTGAGTATGTGAGTATGTGAGAGTGTGAGTATGTGAGAGTGAGTATGTGAGAGTGAGTATGTGAGAGTGAGTATGTGAGAGTGAGTATGTGAGAGTCAGTATGTGAGAGTGTGAGTATGTGAGAGTGAGTATGTGAGAGTGAGTATGTGAGAGTGAGTATGTGAGAGTGAGTATGTGAGTATGTGAGAGTGTGAGTATGTGAGAGTGAGTATGTGAGTATGTGAGAGTGAGTATGTGAGAGTGTGAGTATGTGAGAGTGAGTATGTGAGAGTCAGTATGTGAGAGTGTGAGTATGTGAGAGTGAGTATGTGAGAGTGTGAGTATGTGAGAGCGTGAGAGTGTGAGTATGTGAGAGTGAGTATGTAAGTATGTGAGAGTGAGTATGTGAGAGTGTGAGTATGTGAGAGTGAGTATGTGAGAGTGAGTATGTGAGAGTGTGAGTATGTGAGAGTGTGAGAGTGTGAGTATGTGAGAGTGAGTATGTGAGTATGTGAGAGTGAGTATGTGAGAGTGTGAGTATGTGAGTATGTGAGAGTGAGTATTTGAGAGTGAGTATGTGAGTATGTGAGAGTGAGTATGTGAGAGTCTCCCTCTCAAACACTCACATACTCACAGTGACATACACTCACTCACTCACTCACAGACTCACACTCACATACTCCACAGTATCAATCAAAACATAATAACAATGTTCGTTTCGTTTCATGTTCGTGTGTGTGTGTGTGTGTGTGTTCAGTTGGGGGTCTGATGGATTTCGATGACTTCTGTGAGTTAATGGGCCCCAGGATGATGGTTGAGACGGCGGATATGCTCGGCCTCAAAGAGATCAAGAGCTCCTTCCTTCAGGTCAGACATCCGTATCTAATGCACTCCTTCAAAAGCTTATATTAAATGACGGTTGATAAAACAAGTAAACAAATTTTTTATAATAATAAACTCAAATAGTCCACAAGTTAAGAACAGCATGTAAGGCAAGACAATACTGGACAACGGAAGTGAGCACACAGAGGAACTAAAATACACAGTCGACCCGCTCCAAGCAGGGCTCAAACCCTGGTCTCTGGCGTGGGAGGTGGGCGTGCTAACAAGGATGCTAAAGACTGGCGAAAACCCTTATGGTGGCAGATGGGAGGAAGCAGGATTTGATGGTGGGAGAGCCTATGGAGGAAAGGCCGACGAGATCCCAGAGAGACGACCGTGATGGAGGTGACCAACGGAGGCAGTGATGGAGGGAGGAGCGAGGGTGACCCTTAGAGCCCGACCAACTGAGGTGACGACAAAAGGAGACTCTGTGACATCGACGGATCGGGAGACCAAAGCAGAGTCCCAGGAACGAGTGGCCGAGGTGGTGCCAAGGCCCCGAAGGACTGAGGCTTTGTGAGTGAGGACCCCGGTGGAGCCTGAGGGATGGAGGACCCCGGTGGAGCCTGAGGGATGGAGGACCCCGGTGGAGCCTGAGGGATGGGTTGGAGCGCTACAGTGTCCATGGCGATGGTGGAGCTACGACTGACCATGGAGAAGCCGGTGGGATGAAGGAGCTGGTGGAGCTGGTGGGACGTGGAACTTGGTGGAGCTGGTGAAACAAGGGAGCTGGTAGGACAAGGGTGCCCGGTGGAGCCAGTGGGATGAGGGAGCCTGGTAGGAGGGGGGAGCCTGGTGGAGCCGGTGGGATGAGGGAGCCTGGTAGGAGGGGGGAGCCTGGTGGAGCCGGTGGGATGAGGGAGCCTGGTAGGAGGGGGGAGCCTGTTGGAGCCGTTGGGATGAGGGAGCCTGTTGGAGCCGTGGGATGAGGGAGCCTGGTAGGGGGGGGGGCCTGGTGGAGCCGGTGGGATGAGGGAGCCTGGTAGGAGGGGGAGCCTGTTGGAGCCGGTGGGATGAGGGAGCCTGTTGGAGCCGGTGGGATGAGGGAGCCTGGTAGGAGGGGGAGCCTGTTGGAGCCGGTGGGATGAGGGAGCCTGTTGGAGCCGGTGGGATGAGGGAGCCTGGTAGGAGGGGGGAGCCTGGTGGAGCCGGTGGGACAAAGAGTGCCGGTGAAGCCAGTGTGTCGAGGGAACCCGATAGGAGGAGGGAGCCTGGTGGAGGTGGTGTGAGCCCAGAAGGAGGAGATAGCCTGGGTGAGTGACAGAGAAGGTTCATAGGTGGGCAGGGGTGGATCAGCCATTGGTTAGAAACCAGCTTCACTAATACTCCCTCTGGAGTAAAGGCCGGCTCACACACCTGGTCAGACAGGACCTCTCGCTCTGCTTCGGGATGGAGTTGGCAGCTGGCTCTGGGAGAAGTTGATGTTCTCGGTCAGTGTCCAGCAGTTGTTTCACCATGGCATCACCAACCAGATCCCGTCGTCCAAACGGATGCAAAATCCCTCCAAGAACATGATGTCATCACAGATGGATAATAAACAACTTCACATGCTCTTCCAGGTCTCTTCCTCCTTGAAACAGCTAATCATAACCCCATTGGGCTTGGGCAAGATCCCCATTGGTGCAGTGTTGATGGATGCAATCTCCATTTTTAATTTAATGAAACAGTTTAGTTTGATCATTGATTGAGCTCCATTTAAGGTAATTTTTGTCTGTTTCTCGGGTCAGTTTGACACCGATGGCGACGGGAAGATCACTATGGATGAGATGAAGGAGGCCGTGAAGAATCTGTTAGGAGAGAAACTCAAGAAAGGAGAACTGGAGGAGATCATCAAGGAGCTGGACCTCAATGGAGACGGAACCGTGGATTTTGATGGTGAGGAGATCAATGCCACTTTATACACACACACACACACTCTCAAACACTCTCTCTCTCACACACACACTTTTCCTTGACTTCTGTTGTTTTCTAACACACCTATTGCTGGCTCATCATTGGCTCCTCTGTGTTCTTCCAGAGTTTGTGATGATGCTGTCGGTGCGATAAAACACAACACCGTCATTAACATCATCCATCAGTGTTTGCAGCGGCGGACGATACGGGTTCAGACTCACACGAGGAACACAGGAGCATCAGGGTTTTTTAAAGTGCTCCTAATATGCCCTTTTATGAAGTCTTGGTTTTGTTTTTGGGGTGTACTATATGTTTTTAATTTTCAGTCTTCAAAAAACGCATTATTTTCACATATTTTACATTATTACAGATCGTCTCTGTCGTTTTCGATGAAGCCCTTCCTTCCGAAATACAAAATGTGCTGTGATTGGTTAGCTGGCCCAGTGTGCTGTGATTGGCATAATGTTAGCCCCACCCCTTCATAACTGTAAGCTTTATTCAGAAGTAAATTTTATCGATGGCGTTAGCCCGATTCAGACCCTGACAATGTTAACGAACAAGAGGATTAAATATATGTTATCCACCATTACAAAACAGTAATTGATCACAAAATCTTGTAAGTGCTTACAAAAGCTCCTGGAACAGTATTAAAAATACATTTTAACCACTCTTAGTTCGTCAGCCTTAGTTAGGACAAACTTTTTCGGGGGGAAACCAACGACAACACTCTTCATCTTCCCTTGACCAGGCTCCGCTCACTGTGTGGCCGTATTCCGTGGGCGGGATTATTCAAGTGAGGGCCGTTCTGACGTCATAAGATCCAGAATAATCCACTCTGTAGTCCAAACGAGCCGTTGTTGTAGTTCTTGAAAATATTCCCTTTTGCAGACGACTTACAGCTTCGTAACCTTGCAGATCTTTTTATGCTCAAACCGCAACATTACAATCTAACTTGTGGTGAAAAAGTGACCCATTTAAAAGTCTGATTTCCAGGCCTGAAAAATTCCTCAAATTCATAAAACCATAAAAGCTCATCATGGATATTTGTGTAATGAAAATACATTTCTCTGATTTTCCATATTTCAAGGATGGCTTTGGTGACGACCATCTGTAATGATAACTATAATTGTTAAATTCATAAATTCTGACGATTGGTATGATTATGAAAGGAAATCGCCAAATAATTCCTATAAAATTAGTTTGCAAAATGAATGTCTGTAAAAGTCATTAGGGAAAATTTCTGGTCGAAAATAAAATGAGAGAAAATGATCAAACTCCTATTGATATTTTATAAATGACTCGTTAAAGTTTTAACCCAAAATAGCACAACGTTCTGCACTATGTATGTAGATGACTGTAACTTTAAGCGGTTAGATGACTGTAACTTTGCTGTAATATAATGTCTCTGAAGAGGTGTGTATGTAGATATTTTATGCATAGACCTTTGAACAAGTGTCGAAATAAGTAACAAGTGTATTTTTTAAGTTTTGTTAATAAACAGTAAAAGTTTGAAAAAACATCTGAATTTATATTCACACAAACATTATAAAAAAACACATAAATCTATATTTTAAACATCACTAAATCGGAATATCATAATAACACTGTTTGAATGTTGCTACTTGAACGTCCAGAGAACATTCAAAAGTTACGTTACATGTTTAAAAATGAAACGTTCCCTTAACGTTCACACAACCAAGAAAACACGTTTTTGGAAAATACTGGACGTTCTGAACATTCATTAATGAGAGTTTCAGAACATATATTTGTTATCTGGGGCTGTGTTGACATTTTACTGTATGTAGGCCTACAGCAGAATTCAGTGGAGTTTCTGCGGCCTCTGCTGGTGATCATCTGAAGAATCACACACACACACACACACACACACGCCCACACAATTTTACTAACAGAAGGCTAACCGACTATCCAAACCATTTTAATGTTGTTGTTTCTCTGTTGAATTCTGGACACACACCCACCTGGATTTACACATGTTTTGTAGGCCTATTGATTTATTAAACCTCATTCTTTCTTTCTTGTAACATATGCTAAGCGAATTAAATAGTCACGTTAAGATGTTTCTTTGACATATTTTCTTTTAATTTTTCATTTCTATTATTGTCAAGAGTTGAGATCGTGTTGAGTGTGTTCCATGTTTTCTTTTTTTTTTTTTTTTTTTTTTTTTTATTGCAGAACTTATACAAAAATACCACACAGGGAAGTAAGGCAAGGTGTACAAACAAACAAACAATAGTACCTAACAGAAAATAAGCATCCTGGGTATGCATACATCAAATTATGTAATACATAAAAAAAAAGAAAAGCATAATATTAAGGCCAAGTCATGTCTTTGAATAAATCATCAAAATACATCAAAAATATGTTCCATGTTTTCTTCTGTTGTGTTGGCGATGTGAACGCGTCATCCGGGTATTTCCGCGCGCGAGCGGAAGGAGAGTGTCGTTGCGGTGTTTGTGTGTGTCGTGTTTTCTTCAGCGCGGAACATCGGAACACGACCGAGTGACCCGAGCGACATGGACGGTAAGTCAAGTGTTATAAGGCCGTGTTTATCCACCCGGGCGGCGGAAACGGGGTGTTTAGGGTCCGCGCGCAAGGGGAAGTCCCGGATCTGAGGGTTAGCTCTCGGTTTCGGCTGAGAGAAACGGGCGATCGGTTATTTCGGGAGTCTCCGGTACAACACACGAAATATCGCGTCACATATAAAGTTCTGTCGCATTACGGATTGTGTGTGTGTGTACGTGCACACTTACACACACACACAGAGTGTGAGGACTGATATTTTGAGATTGTCCTCACAGATTAAAGTGAAACGCGGAAAAGTTTTGAAGCCCATTTTGACCTCATAAGAAAGCGCATGCTTTGGTTAATTATAATTATGACATGATGTTTAATAATCGTGGTAAGTTAACTGCAGGTTTGTGTGATGGATAAGGGGTGGTTGTTTTTATTGGTTAGTAAACATCATCACCTCATTACTAACATGACGTCACTGAGCGCACACATAAGAGCGAAACTGATCCTGCCTTTACGCCCTCAATCTGAAAGTATTTGTTTATTATAAATACCTAATATGCAAATAAGCACACTTCTTCAAATCTTTTTGATGCCATGGACCCCCAAATATGATAATCCTCAATCAAAGGACCTCCCCCCTCCCATAACCCCAAAATTCAATAGTCAACCATATTAATGTAAAGAAAAGATTATATTAGATTCTATTTAGTTTTTCTACTCACTATTATACTGTACTGTTAGATTTACGTGTGGGATGCACTGAAATAAAAAATTCTGGGTCGTAAACCAACATTTGAGGGAGCACAGAAAATAAATTAATAATCAATGAATTAATCAAACATATTGAATAATGAAAAACCCTTAAGTTTTTTATTTAAACTTTTTAATAACACAATTGTTTTTACTTCAGCTTGTTGGTGAAATATAAACATTTGAATGACAATAAACTGTTTATGTCAGATTTATTCAAACATTAATTATATATTGTTGATCCAGAGCGAGTGTCACACAGCGGACACGTTTAACTGTTGTAGTTTGTCATGAAACACACGCTGAACACAGTCAGTCCATCAGAGAAGCGCTTATTAAACGTCTGTTTCCCTCATAAACCATTTCACGCTGAAACCAGAATTAGCTGTTACCGACGAACAATTCTCCAGTGCATCCTTCATTTTGATTTATTCGTTTATTTATTTTAAAGTTTGAAAGCCCTTGGTCTATGGTATTTGCTCATTTACATATTTAAATAAGGCTGACTGTGTGTGTAAAGGTTGTGATATACTTTTGTCAGATGTCATTATGATTGAATGACTGGGTCCTGTGATGAGGGCCCCTATACCCCTATACTGGCCCACAGACCCCTATACAGACCCCTATACCGCCCCACAGACCCCTATACCGGCCCACACAGACCCCTATACCGGCCCACAGACCCCTATA